TAAGATATTCTGCAATGAGTAGAGGAGTGTAGAACTCCTCTTGTGAAGTATTTCTGGATTTTCTCAACTGTGCTAATATCAGATACGTAATGTGGGTTCCAGACTGATGAGCTGTATTCAAGTATTGGTCTAGCAAATGCTTCAGTTGGTAGTGTGATATTACCAGAGAAAAAGCTACGTAGGATTAGGTTAACAATTCTTAACGCCTTTTTGGCTATGTAGTTACAGTGGGCTCTAGCACTTAGATATTAGAGATGAGTATTCCAAGGTCCTTGACTGCAGGCAGGTTCAAATTACATTTGGGACACATTTCATTAAAAGGCCAACTTCCTTGAGAGGTCTATAATGCTGGAAAAATCAGAAGGAAAGAGAAAAAGAGGATGACCAGTGGCAAGATGGATGGGACCAGCTACACCAGCATTACACCATTGCAGGGCCCGTTTCAGGACACTTTAATCTAGATAAAAATCTGTGCGGTTGCTAAGGGTCAACAGCACAATCAATCAAATCACGTATTTAAAAGCCAATCCTGATCTCATTTGCTTTAACTTCTCCTCGTGTCTCACTTTCAGATAAGAAATATTCATGTCCCTTTGGTTCATTGCATCAGCAGTCATGCAACAACTAAAGATATTTCAAATTATTTAGTTTTGGGGAAAGGATATGAGAAGGATTTTCCTGACCTCCTTCATTGCACAATGGAACGTAAATTCAAGATGATAGGTGAGAACGATTTTATTAGGGGATGAATTGCAAAGTTTGCTGCTGCAGCCAAGAGATTGAGTGCTTAGTTTTTGCAGTTGATTGTAAAGATGTTATGTAGGTCAAGAGTTTTATGGCTTGAAAACTAGTTTTTATTTTAATATAGCTAAATGAGGCTTCCAGAGATTAATATTACAAATGCTTTATAAAGTAATGTTTCAGTATGAAGAAAACTATAGAAAACAGTATTCAAAGCTGTGAAGTCCTTGGTGCTCTCTGGATTTGATTATTTGTAGACATTTTATTACTCAACTAGATAACATCATCAGTGCTGGTGAATATAGGGTTTACTTCTTTGTTAAGCTATTGCAACATGCTTGAATATTTGTCTTCAGACAAAAATATTTGTCTTCAGACAAATACAAATACACAGCAGCAACTCAGAAACACAAAATTGAAATCTAACCAATTTTATCAAAAAAATGTCTGACTTTTCATAGTACCAACACAAGCTATAAAAAGCATTACTATGCACCAAAAATATCTCCGAAATAACCAACAAACTATTATAACCACACAACAACCCATAACATATAAAACAGCTAAAGCTCTCCAAAACATATTAAGTATACCAAAAGACCAAGTAAACCAAGAAGAAAAAAACCAGGAGTCTACAACATATACAGAAGACTAGCAGAGTGCATCCATGAACAGTAACTAGCAGTCAAGAAGGCACAATGAAAACGCCACCTCACAACCCTTGTACATACATATTCAACCATAGTTTCAACTGGGAAACTGAGCACCCTAACATAAAGGTAAAGATTCTCCTGCACATACGTGCTAGTCATTTTCGGCTCTAGGGCTCATCTCTGTTTCTAAGCCAAAGAGCTAGCACTGTCCGAAGATATCTCCATGGTCATGTGGCCAGCATGACTAAATGCCAAAGGTGCACGGAATGCTGTTTTACCCTCCCACCAACCTGGTCCCTATTTTTCTACTTGCATTTTTATGTGCTTTCGAACTGCTAGGTTGGCAGAAGCTGGGACAAGTAACAGGAGCTCACTCAGTTACACGATGCTAGGGATTCAAACCTAGTGCCGTAAGCATCCTAGACCAAAACTCTAAAAAAAAAATTCCTGGAAACTTGGCATTTGAACAAATCAATCATCAATAGACACACAGAGATAAGCCTTTTACACACCATTCAAAATATACACTTAAAAAGCTAAGAACAAAACAAAAAGACCAGAATACATTCCCTACAATAGCCAACTTCTTGATAAGCAGGGATTCACACCGGGGAAACAATATCCTAATTAAAGAACCACCAAGGAGAAAACACACCTCTTTCAACACTGACAGGCTAAATAACCTCAGAGTGAATAACCTATATTCTCTTCTATTGGAATAGTCAAAGCAGAAGTACTGAAGGAACAAAGGTTTAAAAAGTGTAGTTTAACAAGAAATGTAGATTTGGAAATGTACTGAGAATAGATGGAGTTGGGTTTGACAGAATGATTGCAAGCTGTTTATAAATGGGAAAGAAAACAAGAGGGTATATGCATACTTTTTTATTTATGTATTTTGTCATGTTTACGTAGTGTATATTGGAGGTGGGTGACCCTTTGAGAGCTGTATGCAACAAAATTTTAATGTATGCCGATTAATGTACATTCAAAGTGACAAAGTTATTCTAAGTATGTGAATCTTGGTAGGATGTTTATAAAAGATGAGGAAATGGGTGGGGATAGTTTCATATGTACAAAATCTAGTGGAAAAGTAACGGTTAATGTGCTGTGAAGAATAAATATTGAAAGAAGCAAAAAGAGTTATGTATGCAAGTGTATTTTCCCCATTTCAATGCAAGTCAAAGTTGGATATCAGGATAAACATTAAATTCCAAAAAAACCAAACGAAGAAAAAGTGAAGAGACTAAAGAGAAGATTGAGGAAGTTGTGGCCTTGGATACTGATAAGCTCCTCAGAAATGCAGAGCTACGAAATTTAAAGAGCAAAAGGCAATGAATGAAGCAGTGCTATCAATGTAATGAAAAAAGGATGGTCGGCAAAGAGAAAAAGGAGAAAAATGGTGAATAGTGTTGATGTAGGCTACCTTCATGTCCTTTTATTTCTCTCTCTCTCAGACCTTTAATTTCATTGGCATAGCATTTAGTACTACTCTCATAATTCTACTTAACCCAAAAGGGAGTACCAGGATTGGAATGTATCTATGTAGTTACCTGTAGTTTCTCAGGACTAGGGTGCCCCTAAGCCAATACCATTGACTACCAAAATTAAATTACAAAATTCTCTGGAGTCAAATCTTAAAATCTCAGTGAAGTCTCATACGACATTGGCCATTTTTAACTCAGCTGTACCCTTGTTGTTTCTCTTTCTTTGGGGCATCTATCACATCGACAATGGCGCCTGCCCAATGGCATTGTGCTAGGCCTCTACAGCTGCCAAAAAGGCCAATGTGGTTCTAGGTTGCATCAACAAAGGGATAGTTTCAAGATGACATGAAGTGATAGCACCACTTCATGCTGCACCATTAAGGCCATACTTGGAATACTGCATCCAATTCTGGTCACCGCGATACAAAAAGGATATTGGCACCCTAGAAAGAGTGCAGAGAGAAACAAAGATGATAAGGGGTCTGGAAGCTAAACCAGCAAAGCTGACTGAGGAATTCTGGGAGTTGAAGTCCACAAGTCTTAAAGTTAGCCCCTGGGCTAAACCATATGATGAACAATTGAGAGAACTAGGTATGTCTAGTCTAATGAAGAGAAGAACTAGGGATGGATATGTTAGAAGATTTCCAGTACTTTAGGGCAGGGGTGTCCAACCAGCAGTCCATGGGCCAGATGTGTCATGCACAGGCCACCCCCACCCCAGCTCTGCAAAGGCAAAAAACATTGCGATATGTCACATGACACCAATGTGACACAGCAAGTTTGATAGCCATGCTTTAGGGGCCATCACAAAGAGGGACTCAACTTATTCTCCAAAGCACATGAGGGCAGATGCTTTGAAGCATAACTTGACTCCCTCTTTGTGAGGCCCTGAGGGCAGGACAAAAAGTAATGGGTGGAAGATCATTAAAGAGAGATCCAACTTAGAACTCATGAGAAATTTCCTGACAGAACAATTAATCAATGAAATGGCTTGCCTCCAGAATCCGACACTGGAGGTTTTCAAGAACACACTGGATAGCTGTTTGTTTGGAATGTTATAGGGTCTCCTGTTTGAGTGGGGAGCTGGACTAGAAGACCTCTAAGGTCCCTTCCAACTCTGTTATTCTATGTTCTAATTCCACAAGCAGGAAGTTCCATGCTCACATGCTTCTCTCCTCCCCAATTGGCCATGTTTTTGTAGCTGTGCTATTTGCAGATGGATAGAGCTGAGACCAGCTCTATCTACACAGGAATATCCTGTGTTGCCCTCTTCCTTCTCCTTCACCCCATCATGACGTTATTTCCTGAGTTATCAGGAGAAGCAGAGGATGTTGCAGTGGCCCTCAGAATGTTTGTATAGGTCAAAGACATCTTAAGTGACCCTGAGTAAACAGCGAGGAGGTTAAGGAAGGCAAAAGGTCAGGTTGATGGGAAGCCTAATTTCAAAGATTTAAGAAGCCCACTCCTTTTTCAGCCAAGACTCAGTTTTGGTTTGGAAAGCTCAAAGTCATACCTGGTACTCTGTATTTATTTGGAGGTTCCACGGACCTGAAGCCCTGATGAGAAAGGTGGCAGAGTGAAGCTGAGGTGGTATTCAGCAGGTTCTGACCGGTTCTGGAGAACCAGAAAATGAGTAGTTCGGAGAACCGGCAAATACCACCTCTGACTGGAGATTTTACAGTATCCTTCCCCTGCCACGCCCACAGAACCGGTAGTAAAAAAAAAATGAATCCCACCACTAGAGTGAAGGTATCTACAGATAACAGAGAAGAAACTCTGGAAAAATAAATGGCTTTCTTGGACTGCTAGAAAGGCCAGGTGGTCACTTTATGGCTAAATGAGTTAGATGCAGTGGGTCCCCCTTGGTTATGGGACAGTCCCTTGAGGCATACCAGACCAATCCTGGTTTGGGACTCTCCCTCCCTCTCTTTAACTTCTGTCAAGGACAGGATTATGTCACTGAGACATGTTCTTCCTCCCTGTCATGTCTTGCTGTACAAAAAGAGAGAGAGAGAGAGAGAGAGAGAGAGAGAGAGAGAGAGAGAGAGAGAGAGTTCCCCCTGCAGCCACTCCCAGAAGAGGCGGTAGGAGGAATATGATGTTTTCTGAAGTTAAGAGCCTGTCAAGGCAGGAAATGGGATGTTGCCTGACTCCTCACAGCACAGCGAACCACTCTTGCTGACAACGCACAGGATGTCACTGGGCGATACTGGGACGAGGGGATACTTCTTGCCACTGCTGCTTTTGTGCTGCTGGATGGTGTCGGCTTCAGGAGTTGCCGATTATGATGGTAAGTAGCCAGACCTCCCCAACCACATTTAGCTTGCAAGAGCCTGAAGGGCAAGAAAGAACCTTTGGGGCAGGGCCAACTGACCTGAGGAACCAAGCCGTTAGGGTGATGGTTGTGGGGATTTGACTCTTGTTTCATCAGGGTTTTAAAAGGTCCCTTCCAGAGTTCTGTTAAAGATGTCTAGTTGTGCCACAGCTCTCTTTAGGATGCCTCAAGTGAAAAATAGATGTCTAGCCTTTTTTTTTCCTCCTTAAAGAATTGTATTGTTTATAGGAGGACTTTTCATAGCCCAGAATCCTAGAGTTCTGTGAGATCTCTATAGGCTTCCATGAAATGCTAAGAACAAAAGTTTTTCCCACTCAAACAAAGCATATTTTCTAAAACGAAGCAGCATTTCTTCCTCATGAGGGCTTCCAAAGGTGATTGTTTTTTTTAAAAAAAAACCTAATGCATTCTGTGGCTTGAAAAGTTCAGAAACCCTTGATTAATATCCTAAGTGGAGAGCCTACGCTCTTGTAGATCTTGCAGTAGTGTAGCTATTTGCAGCTCAGGAATATCAAATAGGGCAGAGATTTCCTGCCCCTTTGACAGTGGGGCAGTCAGTTCTAGATTCGCAGCCACCAGGACTGTGATACTAATTTTTCTAAGTATCCCCCGTTAAAAAATGGCATGCCAAGACACTGTAACTCTTTAAAATGTGAAAGCAAGCCAATATATTGCATGCTGTGTTGATAACATCACATCATTAGCTATTCATCCTACTTCCTTTGGAGGCTGGAGAAATCCTTTAGAAAAGAAATTGTCAGAATGATTGCAATCAAGAGCCACCACAATTCAAAGGAAAGTTTTAAAAGAGGAAAATACTTGCTTCAGTTGAGTTATTTGCAAGCTTATTTTGATGGCATGAGCTTCTCCCCTAGCTCTGCTATACAAAACATAGGTGGTTAATGAAATATACACAGCTGGTTGAAAAGCCATTTCCTTGCTTTCATGAATGCAGTGGGGAGCGGGGGAATGATCTTGCTTAGAGAGTATCAAAACACTGTTGTTAGTTCTATGATGTTCAACATTATTATAAATTACTTCTGCAAATTTCATGAAGCTAGGATGGAGAGTCAAATGCTTTAGAAAAACAAAGGGTGGATAATTTGCAGTCAAAATCAGCAGGATGAAAACAAACATAAATCGGAAGTCTTCAGAACAAGAAAGAATACAGATAAGATGGAGAAATAAGTCCTAGTTTTGTATGAAAAGAATTAAGACCCCTTAAATTGATCAAAAACTGAGTATGAGCCAGTAGCGTGATGATTGTTTTTAAAATGCACTTGGAATAACGCCACCTTTTAAAGACTATCTAGAATATGACGGGCACCATAGTCAGCAAGGGAAGGAATCCTTATGAAAAACGTGTTTTTAAAAGCTGCATATTTTGGGTCTGAAAAACAAATTAAATCAATAATCTTCAAACATCTGAAGGACTGCCAAACAGGCAGATGTTAGCTGAATAATAAGAGAAACATCCTAGTAGTATAAACAAGCGGACAGTAGCAATCCGAACACTTCATACTTCATATAGTAGTTAAGCAGGATCTAGATTGCTCTCAGGGATACTTGCCAGATCCTTCCAATCAATTCTACAATTCAAAAGAGAGGAGAGAGACAGTTTGGTGTAGTGGTTAAGGCACGAGATTAACCATGGTGGTGCAGTGGTTAGAATGCAGTACTGCAGGCTATTTCCGCTGACTGCCAACTGACTGCAATTTGGCTGTTCAAATCTCACCAGGCTTAAGGTTGACTCAGCCTTCCAATCTTCCGAGATGGGTAAAATGAGGATCCAGATTGTTGGGGGCAATATGCTGACTCTGTAAACCACTTAGAGAGGGCTACAAAGCACCGTGAAGCGGTATATACAATAAGTCTAGGTGCTATTGCTATTAGAAACCAGGAGACTGCTAACTGTGACCTTCCCACTCAGCCCTAGGAAGTAGGCATGGGCAAACCAATTCTGAAACTCTTGCCAAGAAAACTGCAGTCCAGGCAGTCTCGGGGATCAAAAACTGAAATGAAGGCTCACACAGCCCTCCAAAAAGAGGAGGGAAGAAGGGAGGTACATGTACAAGGGACTTGCTTTTTATAACTAGATGGAGTGAAGGGTGGGGGTGGGCTGGGGTTCATAATTAGAATCACTGACTAGATTCCTTCTATTGCTAGATTATAGTTTAAATGGAACTGATGAGAATCAACAAGAGCAACCGAATTGCCTGTTCCCTCGCAGTATCCCAGGGGAGGTAGTCACTGAGAACAACACTTCTTTCCTGAGTATCTCCGAAAAGTCTCGTGCTTCACTCAATGGCACGCTCACCGTCGTAGTCCTCCCATCTTTCTACACCCTTATCTTCCTCATTGGACTCCCTGCCAATGCTCTGGCACTCTGGGTGCTCACCACAAAGGTGGAGAAACTGCCCTCCACTGTTTTCCTGATAAATTTAGCAACTGCTGATCTCTTACTGTGCCTGCTGCTTCCCCTGAAGATCTCTTACTACTTCTTGGGCAACCACTGGCCCTTTGGGGAGGCTATGTGCCGCTTTACCACTATGGCCTTCTACGGCAACATGTACTGCTCCATTATTTTGCTTGCCTGCATCAGCATGGACCGCTACCTTGCTGTAGCCCACCCGTTCTTCGCCCGTTCCTTCCGCAGCTCTGCCTTTGCCATGGGCATCTGCGCTGTAGTTTGGGTGGTGGCTGTTCTCTTCACCCTGCCTCTGACTGTCCACCGTCAGTCCTTCCCACTCTATGAGACGAAGCAGACTCTATGCCATGACGTCCTGCCATGGGAACAGGAAGAGCAGCATTACTATTACTTCATCATCCTCATTGCCTGTGGCTTCCTGACTCCTTTCCTCATCATGGTGTTCAGCTGTGGGATTACACTCTGGGTCTTGCTGGGCAGCGGTGAAAAATATGCTATGGCTGCCAAGCTGACAGCCCTCATGCTTATCTCAGTCACGGCCTTTTATAGCCCAAGCCATATCCTGTTACTCCTCGACTACTCCCGCTCCTGCCTCAGGAAGGAGGGGACGTTCTACGTGCCCTACATGGCCAGTCTAGCCTTGAGTACCTGCAATAGCTGCGTCGACCCCTTCATTTACTATTATGTCTCGGAAGAATTCAGGTTAAAAGTGAAGAGGAGACTCTTCGGTCACCGGAAAGATTCTGCTGTGTCCATAAAGACCTCAAAAGAAACGCTGCCCTCAAAAACCTTCCACCACTCCCACTGTCCTGGGTGAATGAGAGACTGTCTTCACAGTACTTTGAAGGAAAGGAAGGCAATAAGGGTGGCTGGCTGGGGCTTTTCATGGTCTTTCTTACCAATATATTTTTTTTGAGGAAGCAGGTAATGGTCGATTTGTTCTTGGAGTTCTTAAAACAATATAGCTGGATAAAACCTGCCCAATCTCAGCTCCATTCCAACTTCCAAGAAGCCTAATTATGTTCCTCATTAATTCTGAAGTCTTGTGTAGCAGGTAGTTCTTCCATTTATTTCATGGCTTAACTGTATGGATTTGGAAAGTCCAAGTACGTCTCTAATAAATGAATTCAAAGCAAACTTCCAAAAATAAGTTTGTTGCTGATTGAGTCTTCATTAACCTCATGCTTTCTGTTCCTGGATCTACCTCAGACCCCTACTCACAAAATTTTTACCTCAGGAAGAAACCAAAAGGAGTCACAACTGTTTTAAAAATCGATTTTTAATAAAATATTTTATCAATATCTAAATCAAAATTCTTCTCCCATCCCACCCAACCCCTGGATGCTCCAATTCACTAAAGGATTGTGCTGAACCATAAAATCAAACTGTACCCCTGCAATGCCTAAGCAAATGGGGTACAGGCTGTTCTCCTGAGCACTTGGAATGAACAAACAGGTATCTGCCTAGATGTACAGTGGGCAAGAACATATAAGCCCAATGAGCAGAGATAAAAAATATGTCAAGATTGGGGTCACCACGTCAACCTGATTCCATTTGACGATAATCTGGGGTAAATAAAAATGTTTGTTTTACAATAAATATTGGGTACAGCATATATTTTTGCATACGGTTCATCAAGGCTGGCATATCTGCATTGCAGAAGAACCGGGTCTGGCAGTAGTAGTTCTCAAACTTCAATTCCCTTAGAAAATATTCTCTGACATCCTTCAAATTTATAAATAGCTTATTTTGCCATCAGTCATGGAGGACGTAAAACAGGAGGGGAAGCTGTAGCCATAGATGTTTGCAAACTACAAATCCTAGAGTTCATCAGCTCTAGCCAAGCTGGCTTGGAGTGCAGAGTTTGTAATTAGCAACATCTGGAAAGCTACATGTTTACCATCCGTGGTTTAGAAGTTTAGAGGGGGAAGAAAATAGAAGTGGATCAGCTCCAGTGCTCTGGAAAATATGAGGTGGACGCATGCTTTTCTTTCCATACAATAGAGGAAGGATAACCGGAAAGAGAAGATAAGGTAAGATTGGAAAGCCAATTCCTATCCCACCAATATCAACCTTTGAACAGAGGAAGCTTGTTCTGTCCGAGCTCTTCTTCCACCCTCCAGGCTAAGGGTGTGTGTGTGTGTGTGTGTGTGTGAGAGAGAGAGAGAGAGAGAGAGAGAGAGAGAGAAACAGAGACAGAGGGGTGCAGTAATATGATGCACAAAACAAATGACCTGGAGCTCTTCTGCTTTGGTTGCAATGGGGTTGCCTGGGTCACAGAGATCAACGGTGCCACCCTTTCTCCACTCACAGCCAGGGCAGAGTTGGTTGGAAGACAAGAGTCAGTTCGAATTGTGGTCCGCTGGGTTTGAGCAACTCCAAAAGAGGGTCTGGATTCCAGCTTGCCCTATGTAGCTTGTGCAATACAAGTGGGAAAGCGGCAAGTGAGAGCCATGAGAAGGGCAAGACAAGAGTTCCATCTTCCTTTGTCAGCAGGACACAGAACAATAACATGGCCTGGATCTCTAAGTGGAGTTGGCTGTTAGACGGAAAGGGAAGAGCGCTCTACAGAAAAAAAATAGGAAACATGGAAGGAGGAAAAAATAGAAAACTGTGAGGTGGAGAGGGAGCCAAGAACTACCAGGCCTCCTCCCCACAAGGCCAGATTGAACCTCTCACCATTCACTTCCCAGTGATCACAGCAGCTCCTGGGTATCTGCTGTTATCCTGCGCCTCTGTGCCGCTTGCTGTGGTCAGTTCAAAAGCGTCTCCTTCAGAAGTGTAAGGGTCTGCCTCATATTCATAGGAGTAGTAGGAAAAGTCCAACTGAAGGGTGGGACTTTCATCTGTGAGGTACATTAAAAGGAGGTTCAAGAAAATGGCGGGAAAAGTAGATTAAGTTCAAGGACCCCCCTCCAGTAGTTTCTAATTCCAGCCAGTCTTCGATTTCTTTGCAGCGTAAAGAGACACCCCTAAACCACGGTAACCTAAACACAGAGGGAGTTTTCTCGCTTATTACTCACAACAACACAAACGTTTCTTGATCACAGAGCTTAACTTCCTCCTTGGCTCCTGAGATTGGCTTCCGATGTTAACAGATAATCAGAGTTGGAAGGGACCTTGTAGGTCATCTAGTCCAACTCCCCCACCCCCCCAAGCAGGAGACACTTCATCTTTGCCCAGCCCAAGCTCTGCATCCCTACCCAAACTGGTGCCAAAGTCAGGCCTCACCCCTTGTTCCAACACCATGTACAGGTAGTTCTCGACTTACAATCACAATGGAGCCCAAGCCAACATTTCTGTTGCTAAGCGAGACATCTGTTAAGTGAGTTTTGCTTCATTTTATGACCATTCTTCACACAGTTGTTAACGGAATCCCTGCAGCTGTTTAGTCAGTCACATGGTCATTAAGTGAAGCTGGCTTCCCCATTGCTGGTCAGAAGGTCACACGGCCCCAGGGCCACTCCAACCATCATAAATAGGAACCAGTTGCCAAACGCCTCAATTTTAATCACATGACTGTAGGGAGGCTGCAACGGTCATAAATGTGAAAAATGGTCATAAGTCACTTTTTTCATTGCCACTGTAACTTTGAACGGTCACTAAACAAACTGTTGTAAGTTGAGGACTATCTGTACTGATAGCTTCCAGGCTGGTAAAATCTTTGCCACCTGCAACACTGAATCAGCCTTGGGACCGATCAGAGAAGCCCGCTCCTGTCTCGTCCCCAGAATGTTTTTTTTCATCATAGATTCCAGGGTCGTCCTGCTACTGGTTTGCACTGGTTCATACCGGTTCGGGCGAACCGGTAGTAGCAACGACCGCCCAACGACCGCCCACCCCTCCCCTCCCAGGAGTCTCTACATGTCCCGTTTTAGATCCCAGGTAAGTGCAGGGCCTGCACGGAGGCTCGGGGAGGGAGAAAAACGGGCCTCCTGGAGGCTCCGAAAGGCAGGAAATGGGCCTGTTTCCAGCCTCCAGAGAGCCTCTGGGGCCCGGGTAGGGGAAAACGAGCCTCCGGAGAGCCTTCGGAGCCCAGGGAGGGGGAAAATGCCCCCCATGCCATGGTGCAGGAGGCCGACTAGGCCACGCCTACCATGGCCACACCATAGTAACTGGGCAGAGAACTGGTTGCTACATTTTTTGAAGCCCACCCCTGATAGGTTCCCTAAAGACTGGGTACAACAACAGGTATAATATTATGAAAAGTACTTGGCATATGATCTTGCCAGAACTTGAAATACTGTCGTAGCTTTTATTCCTCCAAAACACCACATGAAGGAACCCACAAGTTGGCAGTTTTTGTCAAAATAGAGAAGTCCTATATTGTATAGGATCAATATAGAAAGAGAAATCCTAAATAAAAAGTTCTGTAAGGTCCTTGGTGCTCTCTGAGTGTTGTTGTTTTCTTAAAGATGTTTCATGACCAAACAAGGTAACATCATCAGTGCTAGCCAATAATATTACCTAGTTTGGTAATGAAATATCTGCAAGAAGACAACCAAGCTCAGAGAGCATCAAGGACTCCTCATTTCAATCCTGAGCTACGAATATTCTCTTCTGTTGATAAAAGGGTTTTCTTGATCTTTCTCCTCAAAATCACTGTCAATAATTTCTTTTTGTTCATGATTTTTACTTTTCTTTCAACTTGTGTTATGACAAAATGGAGTCTATAAAGAGAAGATGTGTGCAGATCTTTCCTCACAGATCAGTTAAGTTGCTGTCCGCCACCCTTGAGCTGCAAAAGACTATATATCTGCCATGCCCACTGCCGAACCGTATGATGCCAGGCTTGTTATCAGAAGTAGCATCCAGATTTTAAAAGTGTGGGCATGATATGCAAAACTGTTTGGGTAAACCTGTCTGAACCTCTCAGTTGGCCCAAACCATCCACCCAACACATCACGGGGTGACTGGGTGACATTTTGCTAGAGCCCTCTGTTTAGCTATCTATCAAAACTTGGTATCTTCTCCAAACCTACACGACATCTGACATGGTGATGGGGTCTGCAAAAAGCAGGAGAAATTCTTCCACTACTGGATAACAATTCCATCCTGTGGATCAGCTGTCTGGCAACATGTTTCAGGGAGGTTGGGAACCGTCCAGTAAAGTAGAGGCACCTAAATCAGGGACAATATAACAGGAGCAAGAGGTTGCCAGAGTGTCTTTCTCCTATATTGGTCCTGAAAATAGGTGTATCTGATACTTGCAATTGTGCATGATTGACAGATATTCTGCCCCACGTGTGATGTTCTGAAGGGGAATGCAACAAAGCTAGAGACTCAGCCAAATATTTTGCCTATCATCTGATCTAAATTCATCAACAATATAGCACCATTCTGCTTAGGCTTGGATCTTATGCAATAGAGTCAAGAGAGGGAACAGCAATCATGCCAAATATATTCATACCACTACAGTTTCCTGTAGATTCAAAGATTGGCAGGCAGACTTCTAATTCACTTTTGAAGCAAGGCCCAGAGAAAGGATATTCTGGAGCAATCCTTCCCTCCTGTGAAGTGCTTGCTAACCACATAAAATTGGGAAAGGGTGGGGCAATTGCAGAAAAAAGGCAGGGCTAGAGCCCCGTTGTATAGAGTAACAGTTGGAGCTAATCTTCACCTGTTGGCATCTGTTGTTTCCTATCAGGAAATGGGTGGCTGTGGAAGTGCTTTTCTTTCTCTTCTGGAGGGTTCTTAGCTGCAGAAAAGAAGTGAAAGGATGGCTGTGGCAATGCCTCCCGGGGAGCTCCCCGCACGACCACCGTTTCTTCCACGTTCTTGGCCAGTTTTTGGTATAGCCGTGCAAAACTTACCCACCACACATTGTGCCATGGGGACCTGCTCGATCTGGGTGCTGTTTCTGCAGGCAGCCACCTCCATTTGACAGTGATTCTGATAGATAAGACCATCTGAGCCACACACCAGCTCCCCGTCGTAGCCACAGTCACGGGAACACATGCACTGTTCAAAATAGCCATCCTCTAAGCAACCAAAGACGCTGTTGCAAGGACCGGTGTGTACAAAACCTGTAGAAATAGCCAGGAGGGGGTGGAGGGGGGCGGGGGGGGGGGGGGGGCATTGCAAAACTCTCCACGGTTTGTACTGTTTCCTGCATAAAAGGCAGATTAAGTATCTGTCA